GCTAGACCTGTAGCTCTTCAACAATTCCCGAGCACTACCAGGCATGAGCTCTGAGCTACAAGTGGGAAGTAGCCTTGACATGGCTGGGTGTGACCCAACACATCCTCCAAATCAACTCTAATTTATATTTTCTGTCAAACTAAGATGATGGCTGAAGTGAGGCTGCTAGACTTGTGTACGATCATTAGACATGGAAAAGGTAAGGTGTCAGTTAGGACTTATGTGCATATCTGACCTGCCTAGTCTTAGAATAACCGAAAGACATTTTCCTCCCATTCCTGGCTTGATAGTCCCAAAAGCTTCTCTTTCCCTGTGGAAATATCTCCTCTCTAATCCACCCTTTCAGTTTCTTGGGCACTTACCTCCATTCTTACAGTCCACAAGTCTGCCTGCATCAGGGGAAGATTGGACTGTATTTCCCTCTCTCTCTCTCTCTCTCTGTCTCTCTCTTTTGCTTTCTGGGTCTCACCCAGTGATGCTCAGGGGTTACTCCTGGCTCTGCACTCAGGAATTACTCTTGGTGGTGCTCGTGGGACTATATGCCAGGGACTGAACTCGGATCAGTCAGGTGCAAGGCAAACACCATACCTGCTGGACTATCGCTCTCGCCCTGGACTGTGTCTCAGAACTTCATTTAGTCTAGATCCTGTGGGATTGAACTGGTCTCTGGAAGACTTCAGATGAACACCAGGATGCAGATCAACTTAAAAAGAACAGAAGTACATCTTCAAAGTGAATTAGGTGCCTAGTGATCAGATTCAGGCACTATGAAAGATACCAGAGTTGAGCATGTTCTAAATCTAATGGCAAAACTTGTGAAATGAATTTCACCTTCAGAAATATTTGTTAGAACAAGTTCTAAGGGTGGAAATTGACAACACATAAACAAATAAGAATCTGGTTACAATTTCCGCACTAATGTGGTCACTGCTATTTCCCACCACTATCAGTTCTCCATTATTATTAAGGAGCGCTCCCAAGGTGGGGCAAAGATAATTTGCGGTCTAAACTTTCTGTCTCTGACTTGAGTCGTTCTGGAAAATTTCCTTTCAGATTTTGTGTTTGTTTAGCAGGCTCTTTACAATATACGTGTGACTAAAATTATTTTAACAGCCTTAATTGTATTACAATGACAAAGATTCTGTAGATCTTGTGACAACACATTCCTCTGTTCTGTATGAGTTTATTTAATTCCTTTTCAGGGGTTGATATTTGAACCTCTTTCATTTAGAGTAGATCCAGCTACACAATCCACTAAGTGCCTGAACAGGTCCAGGAGGGGTTAAAGAACACACCACCAATATAAAAATTACCACTCTGTTGCATAAGATACACAACCTTACGGTTGAGTCTGGGTTCTTATGAAATTCTGAATCAAGTAACTAGGGAATGTGATATATGATTGGGAAGTGATATAAAGGAATTCTTCAAGCTAGTAAATCTGCTTTATGTTTTGTTCTGCAATTCTATTGTCATTTTCAATGAGAGGAAATTTACAAATTCAGCATGCTTAATGTTTTACTTTTTTTGTTGTAAACAAAAAAAATTTATGAATCTGCATGCATCGGTGATGGGTGGTTGTACTTATTTATTTATTTTAGTTTGGGGGGGTCAGACCTGTAAATGCTCAGGGGTTACTTCTGAGCTCTGCATTTAGAGGTTAATCCTGGCTCTGCACTCAGGAACCACTTTTGTTTTTCTTTTTGGGTCACACCCGGCAATGCTCAGGGGCTACTCCTGGCTCTGCACTCAAGAATTACTCCTGGCTGTGCTCTGGGGACCATATGGGATGCCGGGGATCGAACCTGGGTTGACCACATACAACGCAAATGCCCTTCCTGCTGTACTGTTGCTCCATATCAGGAACCACTTTTGGTGGTACTCATGAGGGACCATTTGGGACGCTGGGAATTGAAGCCAAGCTGGCCGCCGGCAAGGCAAGTGCCCTATCCACTGTACTATCTCTCTGTCCCCCTAGGGTGTTTTAAAAATATATAATTTTAGGGACTGAATTGTATAGGAGGTAAGACCTCATCAGTTCCTTGCAGGTGACTGTGGTGACTGTGATCTTGATTTGGAATCCTGGTACCACATATGGTTCCCTAAGCACCACTCCTGAGCCTAGAGCCCAACCTGCCGTACTATGGCTCTGGTCCATATATCTATGTCTATCTTTACAACTTTAGACTATCTCAGATATCAAATAAATGGGGAAGTGACTGAGACATTGGTGACCACAGAGAGAAATATCACTAGAACGAGGAGTAATATGTAATTTACCTACGGCACAGTACTCAAACAATTAGTTCCAGTAATCCTGGTTTTGAAGCACATCATAATACTTTGTGATCAGAGTCAAATACTATTGACTAATACATTTGTGGTTTAAGTCACTGAAACAGGAAGGACAAAGGAAAAATAGGTGCCTTTACAATTGTAAAGCATAGCTATGAAAATTATGGAACTATGAAAATGATCCAATTTCAAATAAACAACGAAAAAAGGGTTTCTTATCAAAGGACAAAGAGAGGGATCAGTACATTTTCAAACAGCCATTTAGAAATAATCATTGCTTGGTGCAGGACTTAATAGAGTGGGACCTGAGTTCAAACAACGCCAATCTAAGGGGAATTCAAAGCCTGAGTGAAACCTCACCTGGGTGGGGGGTAGGGAGGGGGCCATTCTTCACTTTGTTCTCACCTAATCAGGGGAAATCATAGCACTTAAGCTAGGAAAAACAAAAAGTCACAACTGGGCAGAGAAGGGTTGAGGGAAAGGGGAAGGAAGAGGCCTAGTCAATTCTTGACTTGTTAATTAGGGTCAGGAGACAGCGGGGGATTTCCTTCTCTACCCTAAGTTTGGTGAATGATCACATAGGTCTGGGGAAAAAGGATATGTGCAGAGGAGTGATTCATTCAACTTTTATGTTTTTTTTTCTCTTTAGTTTGGGGGCTCTGCCCCATGCATGCAATGCAATTTCCTCTCCTTACATTATGCGTTGACTAATGGAGGGAGGAGAGGGCTCTCGCAAAGGTGTTTGCTCTAATTCAAAAGCCTGGGCGGGTTGGGCAATGTGGGCTTGGAATCTTCTTCCAAGGAAGTGGGACTCGGAGGAGTTAGCAAGGGACTTCCTTCCCTTGGGACTTGTGACAACAGTGTTCAGTCGCATGGAGCTTTGAGGGTCGGTTCCTACTCTGCTTTGCCATCTTGGGGTGGCTTTGTAATGCTTTCTCACTTGTAACAGGAAGAAAATGTTCATAGGGCTAATTGCTATGCCGACTGCAGCGAAGATAATTGGGCAACCTACATCAGATGTGCAGATGGAAAGATAGGTAGGCTCTGATGACACAGGTTTAAATTCTAGGTCTGCAGGTAGAAGCTTTGCAAAAGGCCGCACCCCAGGGGTACCCCCAAGTGGCCTCCTAGGATGGGAGTTTCTCTTAGTCCCACACACCCCAAGCCCAGATAAATGACACAACTTCCTGAAGGAAGTTATAAATTTTATAGAGAGAAAATAAAGACATTATATAAGGGAGAAGAGTATAATAGACTAATTTTAAGGATCTGTAACTATTAACTATCCTTGTAGCTAAAATAACAAAAAAAACGAAACCATCTCAAATAGCTTCAAAATGTGGCCCAGGTGGCTGCCAGCATCAATATTCCACACAAGATCCAAATTATTTCCCAAGATGCCTACTCTGCACTCCAATTGATATTTTAATAACTTGATTTAAAAAATCTGCAAAAGGCTATTAAGACTCAGGAAACGGTCTGCGGTGTAAGGGAGGATTTTCAGTTTTTGCAACGGAAACTTTGGGCCCTATGAAACAGAATAGCAAAAACTCAATTTAATGTGTTCTTCTTCCATCTTTGCTTGCTTAGTCCAAAGGACTGAGAAAACAACAAAACACTTTTTTTTTAAGGCTGGGAGTGCGGTGCTGAAGTTTGTTTTTGTCCGTGACCGTATATATTTTTTTCCCCCTTCTAGTTAGGAATCATAGACTCAAATTTTTAAATTGTCTTCTACCTTCTGCTTCGAATAAAGGTCGACCCCTCCAGCCCCATCAGAAAGATCCTTTTATTTTTTGAGTCTCTGAAGGACCAAGTGGGGGGTGGGAAAGAAGAGGGCCCGGGGAAGAGAGAGACTTAAAACGGGGGGAAAAAAAACTCAAAAAAAAACAGCCCTCGAAATGCTGGGGAGCTGGCCTGCCATTTCCTAATTAAGAAAGGAGTGTGACAGTGCTCTGGCCAGTTTGCATTTAGGCGTCGCTATGACAAACCCCCCAAAAGCTCGCGTCCAAGCGGCGAAGCTCCACCGGCCTGTGCGCCCCTCGGAGGGGGGTAGTGTGTGAGTGGGGGGGTCGCCGGCGGCCGCGGGCAGCCCCGGGGACCGGCCTCCTGCGGGCGCGGGCGCGGGCGCGGGCGGCGAAGAGCCTTTTCCCCCTCCGCGGGGCCCCAGGCGCGGCCGCCTCCCGCCCTCGCGGCCGGCGGGGCCCTTTCCCGGCTGGGGCCCGGCTGCTCCGGCCGCGGCGGCAGGAAGCGAGGCCCGTGTTGATGCTGTTCCGCGGCGCGCCGCCCCACCCTCCGCGCGCCGGCCGGGCTCTTCCCGCCGCGCGCAGCCCCCCGCCGCCGCGCCTGCGCGGTGGCGCGCGGGGGGCGGGGCCCGGATTCCTGTCAGCGGCGGCGGCGGTGGCGGCGACCGTCAGTGTGCGCGGAGGAGAAGCACGAAACGGACCCGTTGGCCGTCTCCCCGCCTCCCTTTCCCCGCCCTGCACCCCCCTCCGGACTCGCGGGGAAGCAGTCGCCGCCGCCGGAGTCGCCCCCCGTCTCGCCGCCGCCGTCGCCGCCGCCGCCGCCGCCGGAGTCGCCGCCGCCGCCGCCGTTCCTCCTCCGTGCTCGGCCCGGTGCGAGTCTCTGCCCTCGAGGAGGAGGAGGAGGAGAGAAGGAGGAGGAGGAGGAGGAGGAGAGGAGGAGGAAAGGAGGAGGAGGAGGAGGAGGCAGCGGCAGCCGCCCTCGCCTCGCCGCCCCCGGTTCGGTGCCCGCGGTCCCGGAGAGGAGGTGCCGCCGCCACCGCCGCTCCCCCCCTCCCGCCGCCCTCGGGCCGGGCTGGGTCGAGCTGCGATGCCCTCGGACTTCATCTCATTGCTCAGCGCGGACCTAGACCTGGAGTCGCCCAAGTCGCTGTACTCGCGAGGTGAGGAGGCCGGGGCGGGGGGCAGGGGCCGGGCCGCTCGCTGCGGCAGGGCGCCCCGCGCCCGAGCGCCGCCGCCGCCGCCGCCACCCGAGGCCCCGCGGCCGCTCCCGGGGGTGGGGTGTGTGTGTGTGTGTGTGTGTGAGTGTGTGTGTGTGTGTGTGAGGGGGGAGGGTGGCGGCGCGCGCGCGCGTGAGGGGGGGCCGGGGGTCCCCGCCGCCCCCCCCACCCCACCCCCCCGCGCCCCGGCTTGTTTGTGCTCGGCCGGGGCTCGGCCCCCCTCTCCCTCCGGCCTAGTCCACTCCCTCCCCGGGCTCGGGACGGCCCCCCGCGCGCCCGGCGTTCTTCCTCTGCCCGTCATCGCCCGGCTGGAAGAGCTCCTGAATTTTCGCCGCCGCCCCCTCCCTCTCTCCCTCCCTCCCTCCTCCCCCTTCGCCTCACCCCCACCCCCCCCCCCCGCCCCCAACCTCGGCAGCCTTCTTAATTACCCCTTGGCCCTCTCTCCTACGGAGCCGGGGTGCTCTCTCCGGATTACTTGGATCCCGCGCCCGTCCCGGGGGGGAGGGGTGGGGGGGATCCGCTCCGCCAACAGGCGCTGCTGTCCTTGGGGAATTTTCTCGCCGCCGTCGCCGTGGGAGGGTTTTGTGGCAGGGAAAGCGGGGAGGTGGGGGGCGGCCCCGGGACGGAGATGCTCCCCCACCCACCCCCCACCCAGCCTACCCCACACCTCCACCGCCTCCTTTTTTTTTTTTTTCAAACTTCCGGCCAGGACCTTTGCAGAGGGGATCCCCGGGATCGATGGGCTGATGGAGGTGGGAGCCGCTCTCTCAGCTGGGGTGAGATTCCGATGCTGGACACCGCAAGAATGTGTTAAACAGGTTCCCTGTGTCCCCCCGGGCCGTCCACCCCAAACGTGCCCCCCCCCACCCCGCGCTGCTCGCTCACCCGCTGCTCCGTCCTTTTTTTTTTTTTAATTAAAAAAAATATATATTTTTTAATTTGAAACCGCGGCGAATGGGGGCGGGGAGCAAAGAAAGACATACCCGGCTTGTAAACTAGACATTTCCCCCCATGTTAAAAAAAAAAAGAAAAAGAAAAAAAGAAAAAGTGTGTGAACCTCCTCCTGCCCAAGAAATTCAGCGTCCTCCAGTTTGTTGTATCCATCCGCTGGTTCCACCACTTCCAAAAGGCGGGTGTGCGTGTGCGTGTGCGTGTGTGTTTATGCATGTGTGCGTGTGTGCGTGCGCGCGTGCGTGTGTATGTTTGAGGTTCAGTGGCACGTTAGTGCGTTTTAGTGATTGAAGTGAATCAGAGTTGCCGTGGTTTGCCCTGGAAGGTGTCGGACTTTCTCGACGGACTGTCCTGAGTTTGTACACAGAGCCCTACTTAGTAACTGTAGCCATTGTCTGGTTCTTGGGATGACTCTAGTTGGCAGTCACCCTCCGGTGGTATGTTTTTTCGGCTGTATTACCTGAACTTGTGTAGGAAGGCTGTAGTTTGGAAAGTCGGAAGGGAGACCAAGTCAAGAGATGGTTCTTGGAGGGCAACTGTGGTGGAGTTGGGTGCTAAAAATTGTCAGGGTATTAACACCATCTATGCAGTAATCATCAGATAATTTTCCGTGAAATCAGTGCTTTATGAGAGCCTAAGTTAAACATACAGACCAATATAGATAGCGCCAGTTCAGTTCAGCCTTTTGGTGCAGTTAGTTCACAGAGATGGGGTTGAGTGCTTCGACTGTCCTTGGTTTTTTTCTTTTTTTAAAGTTCAGTTATTCAGCATAAAAAGTACTTAATGCTTTTTGTGTTTTTCAGATTCTCTGAAGTTACACCCATCACAGAATTTTCATAGAGCTGGACTATTGGAAGGTTAGCAAAGTGCCATTTTAAAGCTTATTGTGTGCGTATGCAAAGACTTTCTCTGAAATGGAGTTTAACTGAGAAAGTGTGAAACTTTGCAAACTCATACAATGTAGTTTTCTCCTAAAGAGCCTGATCCTTCTTTTAGAGCAGTTGAATGTTTTAGTGAATTTTGTCGCTGTATTTGATGTGCTTATTACCTATTGTAAATACTTGGAGAAGCCTTGGGGGGAAAACCTTCCCAAATTATGTGCTGGGTGTTCTACTTTAAAATGCCAGATCTTAAATCTAGCTTAGGAGAAATCTATGAAAGGCTCAAACATTAAGATCAAGAATATAATTAAATAGAATAACACCAAACACTAAGTTTGAAAATTCAGAATTTAGAGCTCTTATTTATTTTTTCAATTTTGGGTTTTGGGGTCACACCCCTCAATGCTTGTGGGTTATTCCTGACTCTGCACTGAGGAATCACTCTTGACCTTCTCGAGGAAACATTTAGGGTGCAGGGGACCAAATCCTGGTGCACCACCTGCAAAACAAGCACCCTACCTGCTGTACTATCTCTCCAGCCCCAGGATTTAGAACGTTTATAGATTGAGCTTTTCAAAGTGACCTATTAACTATTACAAAAGCATTAATGTCTTTCCTATTATGTTAGATTAGCAAAAGGAAAGACATACAATAAAGATGATGATTGAACTGTGCTTAGAAAAAGATTTTGGAAATACCAAAAAAATGTGTAGAATAATTTTAAGCTTTTGTCCTTTATTTTGGGAAAACTTTGTGTGTGTGTGGGGTGTGTGTGTGTGTGTGTGTGTGTGTGTATCACTTAAGAAACAAAAGAATGTGTGTCTTGTTACAGAAATGTTTGGAGTGATTTCGCATAGATCATCTTTGAATCTTGTATTTCTTGAATTGGGTAGCAAGAATGTATATGTATTTCCCATTACAGAGATAAGCAGCCTGAGGCAGAAGTGAGAAGATAGGGGCTGGGGAAGGCACAGGAAAGAAAAAAAATAAAAATGGCTTTGTGTTTTGGCTGGTGATATTCACCCAAAACTAAGCTACTACTATAAAATATAAGTAACCAGTACTTGAACATTTGTAGTCTACAGAGACCCTAAATTTTTGTTTTGTTTTGTTTTTCGGCCACACCCAGCAATTACTCCAGGTGGTGCTCAGGGGACCATATGGAATGCCAGAGATCGAACCCTGGCCGGTCTCGTTTAAGGCAAATATTCTACCCATTGTACTCTGGGGCTCTGGCCCCAAGGCCTTAAATATTTGACTTGTGTGTAGGTATTTGATTTCATATGGTAGTTTGGTGTAGAGGTAAGGAAAATGGGTTTTTGAAATTTAGCTTAAGTTTGAATACCAGTTTAGCTACTTAACTCGTTTTGTGAGGTTGGTTGAGTGATTTGTTTTTCTATACTTGAGATTTTTTCTATAAAAATGTCTATGTTGGGGACCGGAATGATAGTACAGCGGGTAAGGTGTTAGCCTTGCACATGGCCGACCCGGGTTCAATCCCTGTCATCCCATATGGCCTCCCAAGCACTGCCAGCAATTAATTCCTGAGTGCAGAGCCAGGATTAACCCCTGAGCATTGCCAGGTATGACCCCAAAAAACACACAAAAAAGTATATACTGGGGCTAGACTTGATTGTACAGCAAGTAGGGTATTTGCCTTGTATGTGACCCACCCTGGTTCAATTACTGGCATCCCATATGGTCCTCTGAGCACTCCAGGAGTATCCTAAGTGCAGAGCCAGGAGTAATCTCTGAGCATTGCTGGGTGTGTCTCCCCCTCCGCCCCTTGCAGAAAGTATCTATATCTTAAATTTAGTGAGCTAATGTATATGAAAATGCCTACTGTAGTGTCTGGCTTAAGGTCAGCTAATGTCTTAGGTATAACTGAAAGCATATAAAAGGTTTTCAGATTGTTGATTACAGTTATAAGAAACCCATATATATTACTATGAAAATCAACTGCAATTTGAAATGAGGGACTTTTAGAACTGTTTCCTAGTGAAGCAGATTTCTTTTTTTTCTTCATTTTGTTCAATTTGTAACCATGTTGTAGGGTCATATTTATCTGTACAAACCTGTTCATTTTCTGGACAGCAAACCAGAGTGTTATAGAGGCAGAGAGATGAGAAAAGTGTGTTAATTATTTAAGCAAGTATTTTAAGAAGTTAATAAAAATAGAAATAATTTTGTACATAGTTACATGTTTGCACTTAAGTACTCTTGGTCAGATATTCAGTTATTAAAAGTAGGACTCTTCAGATTACACATAAATGTAAAATGTAGAATTATCAAGTATGCCGTGTTCTTTTATATCTGTGCACAGCGTATTGTAAAAAATTCTTTACTTGTATAGTGAATAGCTTTAATTTACCTTATTTCTGTTGTTCACCTTTCATTATGGGCATTCTGTTTTATTTGGGCCACACCCAGCTATGCTCAGGGCTTACTCTGTGCTCTGTGTTCAAGGAATTACTCCTGATGGGATTCAGGGGACTATATGTATTGCTGGGGATTAACCCAGTTTGGCCGAGGACAAGGCAGGTTCTTAAACTGCTGTACTATCTTTCCAGCCCCTTATGGGTCATTTTATGGGTTTTCTTTTGGGCCACATGTGGCAGCATATGGTTTATTAGGGTTTATTCCTGACTGTACACTCAAGGGATCATCTCTGATGGACTCTTGGAATTATATGGGATGCCAGGGATCTAAGGTAGACCCTGCAAGGTAGGCCTACTGCTGTACTCACTCTCTGACCTGTATTATGGGCTTTTAAAGGAATATTCAAAAGTAAAATGAAATAACATACTCTATGTTTATACCCATCGCCAAGCTTTGACAATTAGTTGTGTACATCTAATCTGACTTCTTTTATCCTCTCCCTTCCTTCCCCAAGCAGAATTATTTTAAAGCAAATATCAGATATCATATTTCATACAGAGTACTTCTGTGTTACAGTGATCTATAACTTGTATTTTAAACTACTCTATTTTATTCCAGGAAGTGCACTAATTCATATATATTCTAAAGTCTCCCATGTCTCCCTTTCCCACTTATGAAGATACGTTATATAATAGGAGGTTGTTTCTGATATATAATGTACCTTGTAATGTGTATTAACATCACAGGCCATGAGATCAGACATGGATTCACATTCTTATTTGTGTGTGGCTTCAGTTTAATCATTTAATCATTTTGTGGCTTAATTTCTTCACTTTTAAATGTGGGCACTAATAGCGTCTTCATCATACATAGGCAGTTTTGAAGATTATTTGAGGCAGATTTATTTATAATATTTTTGGGCCACACCCAACAGTGTTCAGGGCTTACTCCTGACTCTGCACTCAGGAGTCTTTCTTGGCAGTGCTCAGGGGACCATATGGAGTGCTGGGGCTCGAATCTGAGTCAAGCCCTACCTGGTGTGCTCTCTGTCCAACCCTTCATTTATAACTTTTTAAAAAAATTATAGATTTTGGGACCACACCTGAAAGTACTGGGGGGAACTCCTTGCACTGAGTTAGGGGTGGAGTGAACCTCATACTGTTATGAATATTGAGCCTGAGTTGGCACAGATCCTTGAGATCTGTGCCTTATCTGCTGTACTATCTCTCCAACCCTAAGGCAAATTTATTTAAATCTTTAAATCTAAGCTGTAGCAAATTCTCACTAAATGTTAGCTGAATAAAATATTTAAATACTAGTGCTTACCTTATGCTGAGAAGTTTACATGCCAGAATTCACTGAATTGTCATTGGGTATTATTTTATAGATGAGGATATACAAGACATAAGGGCTCTCATTAACTTAGAGTCATAGAATTACAGAGTTAAGATTCTAGTTCAGGTAGTCTCACTTAGAGTCTGTGTTCTTAACTAGTATACTAATTTCCTGTTAAATAACATGAAATATTATTAATCTACATTACATAAAAATGTAACTTTTTTGGGGAAGAAAAAGTTTACTCCCGACTGTGTTTTCTATTAAGAACAACAGATAATTTGAGAAAACAATGAAAGATAAATTGGGCTTGAGTATGTAGTGATACAGAATAGTACTGTTAATTTAAGAGAAATAAAATAGTTTTAAGGCTTTGGGATATCACTTGGTGGTAGTGCACTTATTTTGATTGTGTGAGGTACTGGGTTTAATTCCTGGCACCAACAACATTCACCTCACAACATGTAGCAAGCAGGATGACACCTGAACTCTAGCAGGGAGTGAACTCTAGCAGGGAGTAAACAGCTGGGAGTAGCCCCCAAAATAAGAAAAGGGGGCCAGAGCGATAGTACAGCGGGTAGGGCATTTATCTTGCATGCGGATGACCTGGTTTTGATCCCCAACATCCCATATGGTCCCTGAGTGCAGAGCCAGGAGTAACCCCTGAGTTTTGCTGGGTATGACTCAAAAAGCCAAATAAATAAGTAAATAACAAGAAAGTAGAAGACAGTCTTTGATAGAAGTATTGGCTATTGTAGTATATCTTTCACTCAGATTTCATTTCAAGTTATTTAACAGATTTAAGTTCTTATTTAATGTCTCATTAAAAATCAAGGGTAATGGTATTGTAAACCATGCTGCTTAAAATTTAAAAGAAATACGAGGGTTTAAAATAACTAATAAAGTACTGGGCCCACTCGAGCAAATTGATGAACAATGGGAGGACAGTGACAGTGAACATAAATTTATGGGCACATTCTCAAATGAAAAGATAGATATTTTCTTTACCGATTAACTGAAGATAATAAGTTCAGCTTCCAAATCTGTATTATATGATATTTTTTAAATTTTAAAAATTCTCAGTAGCTATTATAAAATAGATATTTTGCTTTTGCTTTTTTTTTAGTAGCATTTACTTGATAATTGGTTGATAATGATTACTGCTGGCCAGTCATGAATATCTGTAACTTCTTTCCCATTTAGAAATACTTGGTTAGGGGCTGGAGCAATAGCACAGCGGGTAGGGCATTTGCCTTGCACGC